GTCTCGCCTTTTGTGGCCGTGCTGGAAGAATGAAAGTATGTCATAATCAAATTGGCCTGCTTTAACAGTTAAAACAAAAAAGCCACAAACATTTTCCACTTTCAAGCACTAACAAAGGCCTCCATTCTGAAATAAAGTGGGTCATTTTTAATAAAGCCATCTTTAAGGCACCATCTAAATGTCAGGATATGTAAGGATCTGTTGAGCTTTTCATGGTTTAATGTCTATTCTTGTCTATCTTCTCGCAGATAACATCGCAGAAACAATGTAGCCTTCATAATATACAAGCTGCCATCAAGCAGGTCCATTTGTTAATGAAATGAAGATGTGTGCCATGAAAACAGCCCTTAGGTTTGCAGTAGCTACAGGAGAAAGGCGCTGGACCCAGACTAACACCCAATGGCATAATCAGCTTAGAGGTAATTCTTGGTGCTGAGGAGATGAGATGGAGAAAAGAAGTTGCAGGAGAGCTCAACGCAGCCATATAGCAAAACCTCTTTTCCCCCTGTGCGACACACCTCCCAAGAGCATGTGGGGTTTTTCAAGTGCTAAGAGCATTAATGCTTTTATTCGGACACACAAACAATCCTGTCTGGGCGTGCAGGCTGAACGAAAAGAGACTTTCTGAAAGATTCTGGAGGATGAACGCACTGGAGCCTGAGCTGAAGCCCATTCAAATAAATTTTGTTTTGCTCAATGTGAAATTACAACTGGCAAGGACACAGTCAGTCAATTAATCTGCATGTTAAGAGGGCATGATATTACTGCTGCTCTCCACAGATCTTATTTTAGATCCTGCTTGTATTTATATACAGATTGCAATGCATCATCATTACCTGTCAACAAGCCATAACTTGGCAGTAATGAGATTAGTACATTTCTACAGTAGATTTTAGAAATATTTAATGAGTTTATGAATAATAAAATTTATGAGTGATAGAGAAAAACATTGGCCAGGTCAATTAACAGAAGTGCATTATTCAGCCTCATATCACTGCCAAAATCTATAGCCATTGCCAATATATATTATACATTTTCTGTTTTAAAATATAATTGTAGTGAATTGAGTACAACATTTTTCAAATAAGTGTATAATAAAAAAAAAAAAGAAAATAAGTTTTACAAATTCAGCAATATACATGTATTAATATTTTTTTATATTTATTTTAAATAAATATCTAAAGGGGAAGTCATGGCCTAATGGTTAGAGAGTTGGACTCGTAACCCAAAGGTTGCGGGTTCGAGTCTCGTACCGGCAGGGATTGTAGGTGGGGGGAGTGAATGTACAGCGCTCTCTTCCACCTTCAATACCACGACTGAGGTGCCCTTGAGCAAGACACCGAACCCCCAACTGCTCCCCGGGCGCCGCAGCATAAATGGCTGCCCACTGCTCCGGGTGTGTGTTCACAGTGTGTGTGTGTGTGTGTTCACTGCTGTGTGTGTATTAGAAAAGCATAAATGGCTGCCCACTGCTCCGGGTGTGTGTGTTCACAGTGTGTGTGTGTGTGTTCACTGCTGTGTGTGTTAAATGCAGAAAGGGTTAAATGCAGAGCACTAATTCCGAGTATGGGTTACCATACTTGGCCACATGTCACGTCACTTAATGTATTTTGATGCATATATTTTGAATGTAAAAAAAAATTGTAAGTGTAAATATATTTAGCAATCGCAATATATACACACTTAAATGTGTATACACATACGTATATATATATATATATATATATATGCACTGAAAAACAGGAAAAAACACATATACATAAATACTCTTTTGTTTGGGTGGAGTACTTTTAGCCTTGACCTGTTTAAGGCCATTGCCATTTTTTACAATAACACAATACAGAATTGCACAATACACAACAACAACAAATGTCTCTAAATACGTAATGGAAATACAAGTTAATCAACATTTCTTTCCTTAGGTCAACATAATCCATAAAAATAAGAGGACATGTTGAACAGCTTCAGGTTTATGACCCATAAAGCAGCTATGTGACGTGCCTTCTTTTTGTATGTGAGCATTTAAATAGGTGCTTCAATATAAAAATGAGGAAGCTAATTTTCTCAAAAAATTTCTCAAGAAAGTATTTTAGAACTTCTTAAGAACTTTTCAAGAACTTTGCAACATTCTTATAAACTTATCTTTCAAACAATTCTTAACTTCTTCCTTAAGAACATCTTATTTTTTATTTCTGAAGAAAAGTTTTTTTCTGCTACATTGCAGATTACGTAATAATCATAAAAAGAGCGGGCACTATTTTCGTTGCGATTTGGTGTCATGTTTTATAAAGCACTGTATTTTTTAAAAGCCTGTTGCAAGATGGAGCGATTTGTTACATGTAGAGAATGCTGCCTTTTAATTATAAAATTAAAAACAAATTAAAATTAAAAACAAGTTGTTACTGAATTTCGAATTCTGCAGCCATGTCACACATAATCATGACCGATCATTTTTGTTTGCATAATCGATCAATGGTATTACTTTTGAGTACTTGAGCACATTGCTAGTTAAAGTGATATATGTAGCTAGTGTTCTGTTGTAATGAATGTAACAGCTTACGCTACTGCCTATGACATCCGCTGGAACGCCACTCTCTCGTGAACGTGCGTACGACAGCGGAAGCTGAAAATGTAAGTTTCTTACACAAACACTTTGCTTTGCTTCAGAAGGCCTTTATTAACCACCCCCCTTCCCTCCCCTACTAACCAGAAATCAACAACCAGTTTGCAAACAGGTAAACCAAACCACCTGTTCTCAATGTCTGAACTACAAGAGGGTTTGACTGATCCTGACAGGTGCTGTGCATATTGGGAAATGGATCATCTCTTGCAGTAGAGTTAACAGCTTAGCCATCTGGGAGAGTGGCACGTGCCTCCTGTGTGAACATATCCCGTTATATCCAACAAACAAGATACAAAGTGTCTGCTGTGGTATCACAGTACACCATAAACAAAACGGTACTTTAGTTAAGCTGGTAAACCTATTATGGGGGTGCTGTCAGGAGACACAATAAAAGTAGTCGCAGAGACGTGACTAATAGCATGTTGCAAGGTAACAAAAAATGTTGTATAGTTTTAGTTATGTGTCATAGATATATTTTTTTATTTATTCATTTATATATTTATTAAACTTATATATGTGTGTGTGTGTATGTATACATACATACATACACATGCATATATATATATATATATATATATATATATATATACACACACACACACACATACAAACACTTTTTTTAAACATTACTTATTGTAGGATTGTTCATGCTCTTAATTACTTTGGTATTTATGCATCTATTCATTGATAGGATATGTATGTATATGTATGTCAAGTAGGTTGCTATGGCAATAAATAAATAAATATATATAATGATAAATTGATATATATATATATACACACACACACACATATATATTAGTGCTGTCATTCGATTAAAAAAAGTTAACTAATTAATCGCACCTAACATTAAAGTTTTTAAATATACTTTTATATTGCAATAATTTCACATTCAATCTTCAAAATAATGCAGAAACAACATAAAGACAGTATAATATTTGTTTAATGGCATCTTTTTTATGACTGAAGGCGAGTATCACTGATACCAATACTACTGATGTCTCTAGGAAATTGTTGTTTTTCCCTAATATTTAACCATTGACTATAGCCATTCAGCATTACAAGCTATCAATTTTAACATTTATTAGAATTTAAAAAAAATAACAACTTCCAATTTAAGTGAACTTAAAACAATCTTCACATGAACCCATTACAATAAATGTCATATTTACCTGTGCCCTGCAGCAAGAAGGAAAAATACAGAAATTGAATAAAGTTATCAAACACTAAATTCTAAATAAATATAGTTGAATCCTTAAAGCTACAAAAGTTATTGATTTCCTCATTTTTTCTTTTGCTCTGTGATTAACAGACATCACAACAGCTGGGTTATTAGGTTATTTTGGCTGCTATTACTTTAAGAGCTGCCGCTGCTGAACATGACGCGGATCTGACACGCATCGTATTTTCTCACAACTCTTTACCTTTTCTGGCATGCTTCAGGTCTTAAAGTCTCTACTAATGAGCCGACGAGTTAAATTGGGTTTGTTAGATGAGGGAGACACTTCTGGGCTGCTCCAGGACAGTTTTGAAAACCATTGCATTTCAGAGACATGTTTTTAAATGTGACTCATATATAACAAACACTTACATACATGCACAGTTTTAAGGCAGATTTAATCGCCTTTTTAGTAACTTCATGACTTAACTGATGACATAACTACGACATTGCATGCTCATAGTTTCATTTGCGCTTTAATATGAAATGATATACAGCGCGCGCAACTGCATTTGTGCGAGCAATTGAAGAGCATGTGCTATGAGCACAGTATAACGGCTGACAGGACAGGAAAATGTGTTTTTACTGACATATGACCTGACAACATCTCATCTGACCGCAGTTCACTGTTGTTCTGCTGATGCTCCGTCGTCACCTGTACCTTTTCCACGCTCGTTTGACTAGCGCCTGAGGTGAAGTTGGAGTGCGCATCTGAAAAGTCTCCCATTTGATGTGGTTGTAAAGACGTTCTGCATCTAAATAAATGTAATTCTTGTCAAGAAAAAAAAAAGAGACAGAAGCAGCAGTTGTGAGTGGGGTGGCCAACCTTAGCTCCACCCCTGCGTTAATTGTGTTAAATATTTTTAAAGCGTTAAACTGAAAAAGAATTAAAATCGCATGCGTTAACGCGCCAATTTCGACAGCACTACTATATATGTGTGTGTGTATATGTAATAGAATAATAAAGTAATAATAATAATTAAATATATAATATATATTCTAAATTAAAACATTTTAAAGAAATAAAAAGCTACAGCACTTTGAAAGCAGCTGAAGTACTGTCACAGTACTTAATAAAGTAGTTAAGTTGGTAGTATGGCTATTTTTAATTAGTTAATCCCCAACACTGTCTGTGAGTCCATTAGAAACTCCACTGACCTTTGAGATGAGCTCATCATGATTGGCGAGATGTGCCCGGCAGTGGATGCAGCTGTAGGTTCGGTGACAGTTGGGCAGGTAGGCCTGGAAGGTCTTGGACTTTGTCATTTTTACCATCTCACAGTTGTGATGCTCCTCACTGGGTTCCTCTGGGCTGGCGCTAGACGAGTTGCAGCTCTGCTGAACTTGCTGACAGAAGAAACACTGAAAGATGCAAGCGAAAGCCGTCGTTGTTGTGGAGTGGATGTGTGGCACGCTCCACACAGACACCACAGGAGAAAATACAACCTGGAAAAAAAGGGAAAGGAAAATGCCTTTTTATTATAGTGCACAAGTTATATGTACCACTTTTATGATACTTTTGCATCCTTTTTGAAGCTTGAAACTGCATGGAAAGACTAACAATTAAATTACATTTTCCATTTGTAGGTTGAACCTATATTTGCATTTATGCATTTAGCAGATACTTTTATCCTAAGTGTTGGACAATTGCATTCAATACATCTTTATTTAACATAAAATCTTTAACATTTCCTGGGAATCAAACCATGTCCTTGGTGTGTTGCTAGTGCCATGCTTAACATGTATGAACCATTTCTATATAGCATGAAACATTAGTCCCAGAATTGCAAGAATACTTAGCAAATGAGCAGCTGAAATCAGATAAAAGCAAAAGAAAACAATCATTTAATTTCCTCTTCACCCTTGACACCTTAAGCCCGATCAGCCTGTGAGGCATTGTGTGCCTGATGAAGTGTGAATAATAACGATTTTCCCTCCAGTGAATACCACATATTTAAGATTCACTTTTAGCCAACAACAGTTGTTTAAGCATGTCAAAAATGGCAGCTGGTTGCCCTGTGCACCAAGAAGACCGAGCTAAGCTTTATTGCCACTGTGGGAAATCCAGTGTCTATTAGACAATGACATTCAAATCATCTTGCTTAACCAGGCCAGACTGTCCCTTATTACAGAGCCAAAATAATACTAAAGCAATGAATTACTTGTGGAAGGCTGCACTTATTTCAATAGCAACGATTTTGACTACAGCCTGTCCTTTGATTATCATGCAATACTACCAAAGACTTTAGGGGTGCCAAAACTCGGTCCTGGAGGGCCAGTGTCCTGCAGAGTTTAGCTCCAACTTGCCTCAGCACACCTCCCGGGAAGTTTCTAGTATGCCTAGTAAGAGCTTGATTAGCTGCTTCAGGAGTGTTTAATTGGGGCTGGAGTCAAACTCTGCAGGACAGCGGCCCTCCAGGACCGAATTTGAGCACCCCTGTTTTAGATAAAGGGTATTAAGGGACTTTGAAAATTACCATATTACCATGTTATACCACTTTACCATGGTACTTTTTTAGGAACATGATTCTAAGGCATTCTTGCACTTGAAGACGGATGCTGTTTGAGACACTGGTAGATTTTAACATGTGCCTTTTCTAATTGCCATCTCTTTTTGGCATTCATCTTTCCATATTTCACATACTGTTCGCACAGACAATCAGAAAATAACAGGAAACTCTGTATACTGTGCTAATGAGAAGGCAACAACACTGTATGCAATAGAAAAACAGACACTTTGCAATAGCACAGGAAGCTCCAACCATGCCGACCAACAAAGCACGCAAGCTTTTGTGGCGCCAAGTGTTGCCAGAGCTGGCTAAAACAAGCAACATGCTCTGACTTACCTAACCAAAATAAGCATGGAGAAGCAAGCCCATGTTGCTTTCGATTTGTATAAAACTTCCATTACACAACGTAAAATTAATCTAAAAAATCTGCTAAAAAAAAAGCAGTCTGACTATTCACTTCTACAAATATCTCTCGTGCACACACGCAAAAACAGATTCTGAGAAAAGCAGAAACGGGGAATGAAAGAGGAATTGGGCTGCTTTTAATTATTATATAATATACTGCGATTCGCACGGCAGGTGAGAATATTTGTCATCTGGTATTAGTGGTCGATCATACGTCATTGTGCTATGAAGACCATGCTCTTATATTCATCATCATTATTAATAAGTCCTCAAAACTACCCATAGTAACTCGCGTTACTTGTAATGCGTTACCCCCAACACTGGTTATAAGCGACTGTAAACACTTAAAGCACAAAGTCGCGTATAATAAGTGGAGATGGCAACACTGTTGCGTGTTCGTGAAGGAAACTAGAGCACGCGTCTCGGTGGAAATGAGAACTTGTTTACCTGTAAACATCATATCTGTGGATATGCAATATGTATGATGACTTTTTACCACTTGCAAATCTATTACTTACATAAAAGTACAAGCATAAAAGCTGGAGATTATTACCAATATTTAACGTTTTTAGCACGAACTATATTATGTAAACAAAAATAACCACATTACGTGATCCCGCAAATAACAAGTCGAGCGTGTTTTTAAAAAAGACAAGTTGATTTGAAACCTCCCACTTATATAACATTGTGGAAATATGTTTATAACTGTTCAGTCTGTTAAACAGTTGACTGGGAACAAAAGAAGAAATGAAGTAAAGCCCGAGGACGGTGAATCCGAAGGAAGATCAACAGCAGACAAACAAAGGAGGTTCACGAGCGCGTGTTAACCTGAGAGGATAAAGCTAATCTGCAGCATTACGGCTTAAGAAAAACAAGAATAGCTATAACAAATCTAGCTATTTAAGAGCTCGAATAGCCACGTTAAGCTACTAATCACTTATAAACTAGCAATAAGCAGGTCACTTATTCAGTGCAACTTAAGCATTATGTCTCTTTGGTTTTATTTCGCTGCAAAGGGACAAACAACTAAAGCAAGATGTTCATAAAAGCAATTCAGCGCGCCAACAATAGGCTACCAGTTACAAAAGGTGCAAATTGGTTGTTGTCAGCGGGATCTTTTAGAGAAAACAACAAAGAAACTCTGCAACCAACGTGGATATACAAAACAAAGACTCGTGCTTTGTGACAAAACCAGGAAGCGCTGAGTGACACAGAGACTACATTTGAGCCTGGATATCTGCAAACACCAATGTCAACGTTACATGGTATGATTCATGCAATCAAAATACCATACTTGAGCTTTAGTCCGTATCATTAACATTTATAAATCGCGTGCGTGCATCCGGCTCCACATTTGTTTTCCACTGACAGACGAGAGATTTAGAAAGGAATGGTTTTGAGCTACTTTACTAACAAGCGTTCTAAAACAACAATCAGGTTTTCACATGTGGCACATATATGAGTATTTTAGCTTGAAATGAACGTAAAGTCTCAACTTACCACCTGAACCGGATCTCAATGCGAAGTTTGGCATAGATTGTCTATAGGGAAGCTGAAGCAAAACATTTTTTTTTTTTCTAGAGTACATACACTTTGTGATATTTTTATTTTTTTTCGGTTTCGGTTGTCTTGTCTCGGTGCCGATTCCGCGTGAGACCTCAGACTGAGACCATCTGTCAGTTTTGTGTGTCGGTTAGGCTGTACATTTCTCTAGTCTTTGTTGCTCTCTTTGTGATAGACTTGCTGTTTTGTGAGTGGGCGGGGCGTCGCGTTACTGGCGTGTGACGCATCCAATTGATGGTTTGCGGGGGCGGGGCTACCAGCCATGCGTAAATAATCCCGGATGTGTAAACAAATACAATGCGATTTAACGATTATATAGGTTAAGATGATGATTTCATCGGTGTTTTGCATTATGTCCCCTACAAGAGCTACATGCATAAAGAATAACAAATCAAAGAAGAACTGAAATGTTTTCGATTTTAGAAACGATTAGTAAAAATCAACTATTTAGTATTCGTTACATAGTTGAGCGTCTTGCGTTATAATATGTAGTTATTATAATCCTAGCTACTTTCAGCCATATAATGTCTCTGGTTCCTTTTTATAATAATACACCCGACCACATGCAAATCATGGCAACACATCAAGTCATTTAGAGCAATATTGCTTAATAAATGGTTTGGTGTTCATATAGGGGTAGGTTTCACAGCCTGACAGCACTAAAGAAATAGCCCCATCTTTATGCGCCAGAGAGCATCTGCTACGCCTTATAAATAATAAGTGAAGAGACTGCCTAAAATAAACCAGCCCAGTGTTTTGTGCGCAGTTATAACGCCAGATGCAATGCAGAACCTTAAAACTTCCTTAGTCTACATTGACATCATATTCATTGACAGTTCACAGATAAATAATTAATTAGGCTACCTATTGAAACAGATAGACCGACGCTGTGTTCCATAATAGCATTGATCAATAGTTTCAAACGCGAACAGGAGGGCGTGAATTCGTGAAGTCTTCGGCTGAACAAGGAAGCCTGTCGCGATTATGTCATGTGTTTTCATTCTGCGTCCCATTTTATAACTCCGCACCATAAAGCTTTTCCCACGGACACAAGGCAATTATTACCCAGCTCACATAATAGCATAAACATAAAGACTGTTGTGTTTGAAAGCGTCGTGTTTTAACTTGCTGTATCATTTCAAAACACAGCACAACACCAATGTGACCTTCATTCAGATGCAGTGCTCTTAAAACAACCCTCACACACTGGGGGTTTTGCATTGGAAAACATCATCAAATCTGAAAAGCAAACAAGCCAAATATTGCACGATGCAGAATGCAATACCTTTTGGGAGGAAGTGGATCAGCTGTTCTCCCCACTGCAGGGTTTCTCATTCAGCAGCGCTGCTGTGTCCGCATGTGACTCGCGACGGTCCGAGATGCTGCTGCTGCTGCTGCTGTTGTTCAGAGTCTACTGTTCATAGTTCTTCCGCTGTGACAGTCTTCTCTGCGGATTTGTGTGTGTGTGTGTGTGTGTTTTTATTAATTTTTTTGAATGAGAGTGAGATGCGGAGATGTAGGTCTCCACGCTCACCAACATTTACTTCTGTCCTGTCTTCATTCACAAATATTCGCACGTTACACAAGCACGCGACCCTGCTTTTTAAAAAAAAACACACACACACAAAAGTATTAATTGCTATGAAAAAATACATAAATTATGCTGTGGGAATTTTACGGAATGCAATTTTGCAGCTGCATGGATGCAACGAAAATATGTCGATCACATCACTGATTATCCCAAACTAAAATGATCACATTATTTCATAAATAAGCAGTTTGAGCATTTTGTAGTCTACTTAAATTCAGTAAACGGCTATATACAACACAATGCATAAAAAAGCCAGGGAGAATTAAGGCGAGACACTGCAGGTGAATAGGGTAAAAAAAAATAACTACTAGCCTAATTATCACCTTGCTTGCTCAGTTGATTGATTACATTGACAATTGCAAAAAAAAAAAAGTGTATTACAAGTTTTCTCAAATGTTATGTTTAAATATGCAAATGAGGCATTATTTAATGAAATATGTGCTAATTTGCATACATTTCCTGTACAAAAATCGGAACACTGGATGAAGTCAGTTTCAAAAATGTTTTTTTTTTTTTTTTTTGACATATTAGAGGCAAATGTTTTATTTTTGTATCTCTTTTTGTCACTCCATAATTCAGAAAATACTTTGAACAGCCAGAAAACAATATATTTTCACAATTTTTGGGGAGGAATAAAATGTTGTATACAATCAAGCAAATTATATACGAACAAATGCCTCTGTAAAAAAAACTTTCAGGATATAGACAGGAATAAAAATGTAACGTTTGGTGTGTGTGTAAGTGCTACTGAAGTGGAGATTTATGGCTCGGTGTAGGAGAAAAAACTCATTTGGAGAAAACGGCCTTTAAAGATATGTATTGTCATTGAAATCTATTGACACAAATAGATAAAGTGCTATAAAAGAAACACTTAACAGTGTCTTTTGGATGTTTTCTTTCCACTAGTCTGAAAAAACACTTTATGAAAAGCCCAAAATTGACAGGTGCATGAAAAAACAGTGCTTTGCCTGCAGTGTCTCCCCTTAAAACTAGGCTAATAATAATAACAATAATAAATACTTGTTAGGTTAACTAATATTCATTTGTTATTTTGATGGCGTTTTTATTCAAAGAGTAACGTTATCGGTGTGCAGTAGCTACTATTTCACAGTTTATTACATTTTGTAATTGACTACGTTCAGGTTGCTATTAGTAGCCTACATTCACATTTGAAATAAGCAACAATAATAATACGACTAATTAAATAAAATATTTTTATTAAGATCATTTTTGAAGCCACAACAGCCATATTTGTCTTGAGCACCGAATGTTCTCATTATTAAATGTGTTTCTTTCTTTAATTATTTATGTATTTATACTCCCACTGACGGGCTGGGTAGATTTTATAATTTAAAAGAAACCTCCTAATTGTATTTGTTTTTGAACTTTTCTGTCGGAACGTGTTTGCGAATGTATAGGTTGAGGTTAAACCAATCAGGTTGAGGATAATTTGTGTCAACCAATCAGCTGCCGAGAGAAGTTCCGCGCTCCAGACAAACGCGAGCCCGCGCACACAACATGTTGTTTTCGATAATGCGCGTTCACAGCAAAGACACGTGCCAAAGCGCACGGCAACGCGCAGCAGTCCTTATAGCCATAGCACGTGGTTCAGGTAAACAGCGTGAAGGCCCGGATGTTGGTGCTATTTTTATCTCGAGAATCAGACAACAACAACAACAACATCATCAGTTCTAATGGAAATGAGTTGTAACGCTAAATATGATATAGTGATTATTGTTAAATAAACCCGTTTACGCGAAATAAGCAAAGTCTTCTCAACCAAACTAACTCACATTCTCCATCAGTGGGAGTGTTTTTTTAGAAACTGCAGTCGGTATGTATAATTGTAGAGAGAATGAAAGTGTTTTCTTGTCATAAATGGTTATAGTTCAACTCTGTTGCCATCTACTGTATCAACACTGATATTACTCCAAACGCTACAGGCATTTTCATGATAATCACAGAAACTGTCCAGTGGCTGTGATAAACTTACAGTTCAAAGACTATATACTAATAACTAGTATTATCATTATTATTATAGTCTTTGAACTGTAAGGTTATTATTTTAGCTTACAGCTTGTACTTGAAGAACTGATTAAGGCCAACTAGACAGACATTTTTATTCAAGCTCACACTAATGTAAAGTATATATATATATATATATATATCCAAATTGTTTCCAGAATGTAATTATTTGCTTTTAGTTGTCATTGTACTAAAGCTAAAAATAAATCTGAATATTATTCTATTAGTTGATTTCATTTTTACCTTAATGTTTCTACAAAATATTAAAATATAAGACAACTTAACTTGTGACTTACCCCAGCTTGACAACATGCAGTTACTGATTCGCCACCGCTGGTGTAGGGCAATAGAATATACGGTCTGTACAGTACAAAAACCATTACGCCTGTGGAGAGTCCCCACAAGGATAGCAAACCAGACACGAGAGTGTGTGTGTATGTATGTTGAATACCTGGCTAATCAACACTTTTTTTGTAGTCAAGTGTTTAAGATTTTTCTAAACCCTCAACAAAAAGCAAAATTATGTTCACATAAAGACCTGTCATCATGCACTGGTGTTAAATAAGCATATAGGCATTTATTATGAATTATTATGTAATAATGATTGTCACATTCTCACAGGAGAACATTCCAATTGTAGTGTGCTTGTAAGTTCATATCAGCCACAGCACTATTAGCTGTTTCTCACGTAACTGTGGGTTAACGCAGTCCTAGTTTATTCTTACTGAATGTCTAAATAGTTCTCATCAAGTTGCCACCGGTTGTCATGGGCGGCAGGTTCTCACAGGATCCAAATCAGGCTCATGCTCATTTAATTATTACAACACTGAAATGCACCTTTTCTTATTCACTCAATCAAGAGCGCAAAGAGGAGCACTTCTGTTGCCGTGCCAACCAAGTCGATCGCTGCCTTACAGCCAGACTGAACACAACACCACTGGCCAGTTGCATAAACTTGGCCTCTACATTAAAACAGTGTCTTAAGATCTAGTATGACCAACTAGCAGTTAGCCAAGGGATAATCCGTTTTATTTTTTGGATTTTGTGACATTTTTATGTAAACGAATATGAAAAATGATGGCCAGTCTTAAAGAAAAACATTAGAAGACTAACTTGACTAGACCTTTTGTGCGCCTCAGTTTGGTTTACAGCTGAACAGACAGACTTAGTTGTTCTGTTTAGGGAGGTGGTGACACATGAAATACTAGCACTAATATCAGGAGGAGACAGAAATCTGAGGCAGAAATATAATACAATTGGTTTTATTCTGCAGTTTCTAGGTTACATGACTTGTCAGATGCAGAGATCAATGAACATTGGCTGTCTTTTTGAGCAGTAAAAACGAGCCTCGAGACATAATGCCACTGTTTTCAATGGATTCAAAAGATTGTAATATAATTTTGAAATGTTTGTAATCACAAGTTTCCCCAGAGGGGCCAAAACCTGGGGGTTTCGAAGCTTGAACAAAAAGTTAGCCATTGTTAGCAAAAAAGAGGGTTAATACACAAAGACTTTTTTTTTTTACAAGATTAATAATAAATCACTAGACATTCATTTTTACAATAAAAAACAGTTCTACACAAAACTTTCAAGAACTGAAGGCAAA